TCACTCCAGATGTTGTATTTGTTCTATAGAAATCGTCACCTGCAAGTTGCTCGCCGGCCAAGACGTGCTTGGGTATTTCCTCGTCTGCAGAACTGGTTCCAGGAACTTTTAAACAGCAGAGCTCTCGATCACTGGTGGTAGGAAAACTTCCGCGTGTCTCGGGCTACTTTTGAGTATATCTGTAGGCTGGTAGGGCCAGCAATAGCTCGACAAAACACTAGAATGCGTGACGCTATTCCAGTTGAAAAGCGAGTGGCTGTGAGCTTGTGGCGTTTGGCAACTGGCGAGTGCTACCGCTCATGTGGACTGATGATCGGACTGGCAAAACCTACAGTGGTTTAGTGCTGTCATGAGTTTGTAGAAGCAATTTGCCGTCTGCAGGATGACTTCATAAAGTTTCCTTCTACAAGGGCGGAAATAAGCAGGAAAATTAAAGTTATCTCTGAGAAGAGCAAGGTTCCGAATGTTGTTGCAGCGATTGACGGTAGTCACATTCCTATAAAAGCACCAAAAGAGAATCACGAGGACTACTTTAACTGGAAACATTTTTACAGTTATTTAGTACAAGGGTTGTTGACTCGTCGGGACTCTTTTTATCAGTTGCCACTGGGTTTCCTGGGAGTCTGCATGATTCTCGAATGCTGCGACTAAGCGATGTGTACTGGGCTGCCGAAAACAAGGACATTCTCATGGAACCTACCCTGGATTTGGGGGGAACCGTAATTCGCCCACTTGTGCTGGGAGATTCAGCGTACCCATTGAAGACCTGCCTTTTACCGGTTATCAAAGATAATGAAGCCCTTAACCGAGACCAGAAGAAGTTCAATAAGGAACTCTCTAAAGCACAAATGGTTTCTGAGCATGCGTTTGGTTTGTTAAAGGGTAGGTGGAGAGCACTACTGAAGTGCTTGGATGAGGATCATTGGAGGATCCCAAACACCATCATAGCATGCTGTGTACTTCACAACATTTGTATCATTCGAGGGGAAGAATTTGATGGAGATGTTGAGGACGATAGCGATGATGATGACAATGGAGTTCCCAGCCAGGCTGCAAATGGTGTTCGACTGGCTGTAATTGAATTTGTAGCAAATCAATAATTTTTTTTTTCAGAGATGCTCTCTGTTCCGTAATAAAATAGGGTAGTATGGACACTAGTGTAAAGGCCTTCCATAGTAAACACCTCATGAACAGCCGCCAAAAATGAAAACAGAGGAGCCCGGTTTACTTGCAAGTAACTGATCAACGCTAGACCATGTTTCTGTTGTTGGCCCTTTATAATTTCAATATTGTAAAACAACTCCCCTGATTACCCTTTTCTCACCATTTAATCACAACGTTTGATAGTAAAACTCTCTTTTTATTAAAATTTTCATTAAAAGAGCAAAACTGAATTCCCAGGTTTAATAATAATCATACAAGCTTTCATGTTTCTCATGTATGTTCTGAACTATAACTGACGCAAAACTGTAACATGGCCATGCCTAGTGGCAGCATTTAAGAAATTATGTGAACATTAAAATATAGAAATAATATCACATGAATTTTCCTCGTAACACTTTAATCTATTAATAAAAAAAAAATGAGTTCGTTTGTCGTATTGTGTATAAAATGGTTTAAAATTCACGTTCAATGTCCTTTAAAACAGAAAACTACAACTTGAACAATTGATTTTTTAGTTGTGTATACCGTAAAGAAAAAAATTCTTTATTTTTTTTAAGAGAAAATCTCGCCCAGTTTGCCCAAGACAGAAAGAGTAAATTCCTGGTGCCTTTGTTGAGAGTAGCTTTGGGATTTTAACAAAGCCTCAAACATCTGCTGGTCTTTCTCGTCTGCTTTCTCGATGGCTGCTTGTTGTGCCTCCATGAGATTCAGAATGGTACTTTCTGCCTCTTTTCCATCAAGGCTTGCTCTCTTTTTCTTCTTTTTTGGTGGGCAGGGTGAATCCTCTTTCTCATTGGGCTTTTCCCCAACAGCGACTGTTGTTGGATCAGCAGTAGTGACAGTAGCTAACTCATCACTGTCCCTACTCTCGGAATTCGTTGCGGAATCCTGTGGCCTCACTTGCATTACTCTTGTCTCCTTGACAAATTTTGGGTTCACTTTGTTGGACCCTGACATGAACTCATCGATCTCATCGTAAAACTCAAAGGTCTTACGGTCCCTTCCTGTCTTGTTGTTGTTATCTTTGACGGCTTTGTATTTGTCGAACAAAGAGCGCCATTTCTCTTTAATCTGGGCTAGTGTTTTCTCTGATTCTATGCCAGCGGCGCAGCAGAAACTAACAAAATCTGCCATAATTGAATCCCATACGCTTTTCTTGCCATGGCTACTCTTTGTGGACTTTAAACGATCATAATTTTCCCGGTAGGCTGCAATCAAGCTTCGTGTTTCTCTATGTTCCCAGCTTGTACGCCTGCTCTTTTCTGTGACACCCTTCTCACCGGATAAGTCAGCTTGAGAACTGCTGATTGGGCTACAAGATCGCGGAGCCTCCTGAGGAACGTACTGGTAAGGTATTCTTGGGTTGCTAGTTAAATAATATGGATATGGAGAGTACGCTCCTGGTTGATTTTGATAACTCTCTTGCTCTCGACTTCTCTGAAATAAATAACCGTTGTACAACGGTGCATCTTCCTCACCATCGTCTGATGGAATGTCATGGGTAATTCTTTTGTTCTTTTTTATGTATCCATAGTGATTTCCCGTGGGCAGTTTCACTGTGGGAATATCGGTCACACACAAAACACAGACTCCCCGTGGGTAAATTCCTACTTTCCCGTGGGCAAAAGCTCTAGTGGAACTGCAACTATTGGCTGTAAATTTTGCCCACAACAAAGATGGCGCCAGAAACCGTGAAAGGGTCTATTCAGAACTTGAAGAAACTACAAAAATAAAAACTGACTGTATTATCATAAATGCTCCTGGTACTGAAGATCAGAAATTAAAGTATGCCATTGTGAAGTGCATATTTGAAGCAATTGAACTTAGTGTAAGAACAGGTTCTTCATTATGCACTGTAGAAGACCTGCTTTGCTATGCTCGCCGTATGTATTGCAGAGGAAAAGAAATAGATGAAGAAGACCACACAATGAAAATAAGGTGGTCCAAGGACTGGGAACAAGCCTAAAACTTTCTTGATGATGTAGGGTATGAAGATGCTAAAGAATACTTTATTTGCTTGAGTGGAGCACATAAAAACCACTGGGACATTATGGAGTCTGCAATTGAAAAGTGCCGCTTTTGTGGAGAAGCAGGAACTATAAAGTATTATTATCTTGGATTACGTAGCAAAGTTAAGTTATGGGTTGCAGATCAACAGATGTGTGGAAAGATGACGGCCCACTGGGTGGAAAAAGAACACTGGATAAATGGAGGTAATGACGGATGGAGCATTAAAAAGGAGGTATGGGATGGTACAAGATTTTCTGAGTTGGCTTGGTTTTGGAATCCTGATGAAACATGGTGTTTGCCTGCAAGATGTGTCAGACAGGGTTGCAAAAATATCATCAGTGCACAGGAAATATCGCAAGCCCCTACAAAGGCTGATGAGGTAGAGAATTGTTTTGCGTCAGTTGCTGCACCAGATTTGATCATCACCCTAAGTATGTCAGTGGTGATCCCAGGAATATAGCATACATTGGTAAGATAATTGGTTTATACACTAGTAAGCATAAAAATGTTATGTCTGTAATTATATGGTTGGTTTGAAGGGGATCAATAGAAATAAGTACCTTTGCTAATTGAGCAAAGCTGTTCATTTGCTATAAATTTGCATTGATGTCAATCAAAAAAAAATAAAACCCCTACTGAGTGGCCATTTGCCAGTTCCCTAAGGGTGGCTGATTAACTGGATTTGACTGTATTCAGAATAAAATTGATATAGATTAAATTGGAAGTAAATGAGATTGATCTATTTACCTTTACTAGAAATCTGAGGGAAGTAACAATTCAGGCCACAGGCCTGTCAATCATCCACTTAGAGGCTGATTACAAGAGTCAGGCTGGCCTGCCCATATAATGTGATCTTAGAAAACAGTCAACTCAGCTCATGTAATCCACTCATTAAAAAAACTAATAGAACAAACAAAAGTGGCAGGCCTCTGCCTACCACAGATATAACATTTTATTGTCTTCATAAACACTGCAAACATATATTGCATGTGAAAATTATTATTATTTTAGCTGTTATCACACAAAACGGACAAATTATTTTGATTGGGCTGAACAAATTGTCTACAATATAAATAATTCACAATAATTCCTAAGAAAGTCTCATATACAATTAAACTAAATAAATAGCTTTACAAATCAAATACCTTGGTATACAATTAAAGAATGGGTAGAAGAAAGACTTCTGTCACTTGAAAGCACTGAGTTACGAGATGTGCCATTTGATGACCCTTACAAATTTTCACCATTCAGAGTCAGAAGCATACAGTTTCAACAGGATCACCTGAGAAAGAAATTTCTTGAAGAAAGTGATATAAGATCTAAATATTTATCATGCATGTCCTTCATCTGTGCTTTATAGGATAGCACCAAAATCTCAATTTATACTATAGATTTACTATAAGTAAATGTAAATGCAATATCAAAACTGAGTGAACTAAATTTTATCCAATTACCAATATCCGAATACCCAAGTAATAACTACTACGTCACTTACAAACAATAAGAATAATTAATACATAATAGTTTGTGTTTCCAGCACTCTATAAAGGCAACAAAAAATAACTGTCTTTATCAAGCATTACTACAATGAGGTTAGTACTTGGTTATTCTCTGTAGTTAGTCCTTTTCTTCTTATTTTTTTTTTGTATATGTACAATACAATTGTATATGTATATTTTGAAATTTTTATTTCATGATTATTGTAAATTTCATTTAATATATTCAAACTATTTATTCATGAAAATCTCCCTATGAAACTGACACACTGTATTAATTTTACAGAAATATCTATTAATCTGTTGACTTAATCCAAAGCTTCAAATCAAACAGGGTAACAATTTTACCTACACAATTGCAGTACCACAAAAGCACTGACTGACAAGATGTGCCATCTCATCATTTGCCAACCTACGATGTGTCATCGAGAAAGCTTTCAGTGCTCTTGTGGGAACAAGTCTGGGTAGGAAAAAGAACAGATTCCTCACTTCCCAAAAAAAAAAAATATAAGAAACAGTGAACAGTTTCAACAGGATTGTATGTTAGTAAACATATATTAATCACTTGATATGCAATTTTAGTCGCCCCTCTAGTTCATCAATTATCTCACTTAATTGTGGTCTTAACTCAGGATCACTAAGAATGCACTTTTTCCCCAAAGTACAAAGGAAGTGGCATTGGAGGTATGTACCAACTGCATAGATCACTCTTCCAAAAGAGAATACATCACTGGCATGTGAAGGTGGACTGGCACCACAGACAATTTCAGGAGCAATGTGACCATGCTAACTTACTAAAGTTTTCGTTCTTCAGGAGTGAAATGTTTCACAAGGGAACCGACTGCTGTTAAAGCTACACATTTACCAAAATCAATTAATATGGCACGATACTTATTGTTTACATGTGAGATAAGGACATTATCTGCTTTGATATCTCTGTGAAGAAATCCTTGTTTATGTAAATAGGATATTGCCTGAGCCAACTGATTGATCAAGGTCAGCCAAATAACCTGTGAAAGGTTCAAACTTCTGCTCTTCAGTGCCAAAGATAATGTGTAAGGCTTGTCCAAAACATGGTAAAAGGACGACACTAGATGGTAAGGCCTTGAAAGAGTACACATCCCAATGAGAAGAGGAAAATTTGCATGTTTGAAATTTGAGATGACTCTTGCCTCCTGTTTGACCTCCTCTGCTGTAGCAGAGTAAAATGTTTTAACTGCAACAGGATTGCCCCTGTAAAACATCTTGTTACAGCACCCAAACACACCAGAACCCAGATGTACCTTCACCTCCATTCCAGATTCATCTTTTGGGGGCTCCAAAAGGGCACAGTCAATTTCCACAATGGATTCACATGTTGCTTTTGCAATGACCTACATTTCAGCAAGACAAAAATTAATAAGTAAAGATTTGGTAAAGCATTTGACAATAAAAATCTGCGATAAAATATTATAAAACATAACACGATGTTTCGACGTTTCCAGAACATCATTATCAAGTGAACTAGAATAATAAAATCGAGTATATATATAATGAAGCGGTGAATAAATTACAAAGCGTTAAAATTTAAACAAAGAGTTTGGCCCTAATGGAATCGCTCTGGGTGTTTAAATTGGGCCTTATTGTTCTTATGTACAACATTTCATAAACAAGACAATCCCATTTCGTGCCACATTTTTTAAGCATTCTAAACTGGCTCTCATTGAGTAAGTCAATGTTCCCATGGGCATCTCTCAGGTGGCGACCAATGGCAGAGTATCGATGATCAGCAATGCATTGAAACAAATGGCGCGTTGTATATCCGACGTAATTTGAATCACACAAATCACATTTAAAACAGTAAACAACGCTATGCTGACTTACGATGCATGGCTTGATTTCTTTAAGCTTTAGGTCCTGCTCAAGTTTCTTACTGGTGTAGACTGGTTGTACATCAATGCTGATTTTTGAACTGGAGAAAGTCCATTTGGTGAGACCTTCTGTGGCAAGGAAAATTTCAAACCTCTGCATATGACAAGCTTCTCGAAGAATGATAAACGATATGAGGAGATATTCTTAATATGTTCATCAACATCAAACTTCTTTGAGATAAGACGACCGATCTTATCACAGTGGGTACGCATCAAGTCTTTCTATAAAGCATTACATGAAGCTGATAAAACGTGCGTGGCGGCCACGTAGCGTAACGTCAAGCACTCCTCCCTCAAAGCTTCGTGTTCCTTGTGCACAAGTACCTTTAAATGAAGCAAATGGGATTGCTTGGAGCATAGTTCTTCGACCAAGACCTCTCGCTGGTAGTTGTCGGTGGACTTTCTCCATTTTCGAGCTTTTCTTCGTTCGACTTGAGCAAAAGTAGGCACAACATCGAAGTTAATACATAATCGTTATTACTTCACCTTTTACTTCATTTTCAAAGTCACACCGATTTGCACTACAAGAAGTGTCTTATCAAAACAATGGTTCATCGTGCAAAGGAATTGTCCTCAACGCATCAAGCATTCGTCGATGAGTGTAGGCATCTAAAATCTATGTTTCATCGCCTTGGTTAACCTAGCTCTTTGGTGAACTGTATTATCGACAAATGTGATTATTCCTCTACACCAGATACTAAGACAAAATCTGATGAAACTTTAAGAGTCAGTATTCCTTTCAAAGATCAAGTCTCTGCGAACATTGCCAAAAGACAAATGCACGATCTCAGTTCAAAAATCAGCATTGATGTACAACCAGTCTACACCAGTAAGAAACTTGAGCAGGACCTAAAGCTTAAAGAAATCAAGCCATGCATCGTAAGTCAGCATAGCGTTGTTTACTGTGTTAAATGTGATTTGTGTGATTCAAATTACGTCGGATATACGACGCGCCATTTGTTTCAACGCATTGCTGATCATCGATACTCTGCCATTGGTCGCCACCTGAGAGATGCCCATGGGAACATTGACTTACTCAATGAGAGCCAGTTTAGAATGCTTAAAAAATGTGGCACGAAATGGGATTGTCTTGTTTATGAAATGTTGTACATAAGAACAATAAGGCCCAATTTAAACACCCAGAGCGATTCCATTAGGGCCAAACTCTTTGTTTAAATTTTAACGCTTTGTAATTTATTCACCGCTTCATTATATATATACTCGATTTTATTATTTTAGTTCACTTGATAATGATGTTCTGGAAACGTCGAAACGTCGTGTTATGTTTTATAATATTTTATCGCAGATTTTTATTGTCAAATACAAAAATTAATGTACTGTAAATCCTTTGTTAGCCCCCCTTTTCAGAGCAGGAAATAAATCATAAATAAATGCCTCTCTAAATGTTGTAATGTATTTATTTATTTAAACAGATTTTTAAATAGCGATTTCTTTTCATGGTAACGTGATTGCAGTGACGCCAAGGTCAGATCAGCAAATGTAGATGGAGTCACACTTTCAACATGGCTGCTTTACTTGAAGTTAAGAGTTTGAGATGATGGTAAAATTTATTCTAATGAGGAAGACTTGGTCAAGCAGTTTCAGGAGGTTGATGCAGTGACTCATTCTCTGACAGGACCCTAAACCACCACCCCTCCCCCCCTCCTTCTCCACTTTAAGGGAGATGAAAATGAGGATTAGATGATGCACCCGCTTAAAAACCTTTCTGGCTATGAAGATTTAAAATATAGTACACACCTTCCCTTGCGCTACAGATTGCCTTGGAATCAATGTCCTAGCCTCTCTTGAAGCCTCCTCTCGCTTGAGAAGTGAGTGCCATCGATCATAATATTTTCTCGCTATATAGTCGCATATCTTTTGTTGTTTCTCGAGGCAAGCCTTCTCGATCTTTAATCCAGACGCAAGTGTCTTCTCTTTGTTAAGGTTCCTCTGTAGTCGTTTCCTTTTTTTTCCTTCTCCTTTTCATTCGTCTTATCTCCTCCTTTGTGTTTTCACGGCTTATCCTACCCATGAACACGATAAAAAATGTTGAAAATTACTATAATCTTGCCCTTGCCTAGCTCGCAACATCACATTCTGTTTTAAGGCGCTAAAACGACCGCTGACCAGCGAGTAGTTAACTTCAAGATTTTCGTCACCAGACTTTTTCCGACTTCACAATGATAACAATGATAACAAACTTTTTTTTTTCAGCTGAAGGAAATCACAACTAAATGGACCTTGGAGAAAAGAGGGCTGGGAGGAATAGCAAATATTCCCCCCCTCCCCCCCCCCAAAAAAAACAAAAAAACAATTGTCTGATTGGGTCTAACAAGGTGCGCACAGCAAAAAGGGAAGGGGTGATCTAGGATGGAGGAATTTGATACTTCAATGGTATTAATCTAAATGAACTGTACAAAAAATTACTAGTTGCTTGCCAGTCATTTTAATGGTTTTATATAGAAAATCCCTAAGAGATCTTGCTAATTTCCATGCCTTACAGTGGAACCCTAATAAAAGGAAGGGCCATGGGTCTCACAAAATATGTTCACAATATTATGAGGTTTTATTATATCAAGTTTTTTTATATATTTTACTTTTACTAGGGTGAAAAATGCATTGCATCATTCGCTAAACTGAGGACTTCTTTATATACAGGTTTTTTAAATCAAGGTTCCACTGTAACAGGTTGCAAATAAAAACAAAATTAAGTTTCCAACAAAAGCGCAAGTAATTAATAAGAAAAATGACAATTTTATACTGGCTGCGTAATGTAACCATTGAGGGCCTGAGAAACCTAAATTCTGATAATAAGCACTGGGCCAACATTTTCCTAAAGCGACTTTTTGGTGAGCTGATTTTTGTTAATGTTCAATTATTCATTTAATTTTTTATAACATTTCCAGGACTTATCTGAAGTTAAAAGCAATATCAATTTGATGCCTTGGCCTTCACCAGCCACCTTCAACAAATTAAAAAAAGTAAAAGTCAATAAAGGCATGATGATGGAAAAAAGAACTGCAATGGTCTATATCTATCAAGGTATAAAACTTGAACATAAAATAAACTATGATTGGTATCAATCTAATAAGCACTAAAGCTAACACTGCAATTTGCGTGTAAGAGGACAGACCACAAGGACATGTTCATCTTGGAGAATGTCAATTGCTGGTATAAACTTTCCACTGATTCTCTGAATTGGAATAAATGTTGATTCACCTTCAGGTTCAAAGAGATCTTTGCACCAGACCTCGACAGGAGCACTTAAGGAGTATCTTGATGGATGAGCTTGAAACCAACGTACAGAAGCCAAAACAGAGGTCACATAATGTCCATTTACTTGTACATTTTGTTTCATAAAATAATCAATAACACCTGGTCTCAAATCAGCTCCAGAGGTGTCAATTGTGCCACCAAGTTTACACCACCTTGCCAACACAAATGCTGATCTATCTCCTCTTGATTTAATGGAGCCAAAGAGATCACCATTGAATTTACAACAAGCATAACATTCAATGTGAGTCGTAACAGAGGTTTCATCCAGCCCATCCAAAAACGTAGCATAGGATTTCTTTAGATGGGGAAGAACATCTACATCTATGGTGTCTCTTGAGTATTGTCCACAGCATGTGTACAAATAGAAACTGCTCTCAAATTCGCCACCAGTTTGCACATGACCAGTGGACAGCACATAAGCTTGGATAATTTCTCCAGACACCTGGTCCTTCTCAGTTAGACACTGTTCTTGAAGACTTCCTGATTGTTTTGAGTACAGTCTGTTAAGCAGAGGTTTAAATATATCTTGGAACTCAACAGGCAAAGGCAGATCCTTCATAAACTGACTTGATGAGAACTTGCGCATTAACTGTATCTCAACAGCACGTTGATTGGTTCCGTACTCGCCAAGAATTCCATTATAGCGCTCAAAGCTAAACAGCCAAAATGAATACACAGGTCCATAATCCAAGACACACTCAACAAGATGGGTATGCAGATGTATGTTTGGAGTTACTCTGTGTTTGCCATACAACTTTTCAAAACCCTGGCAAAACTTCAAAAGGTAGGAGTGGGCCAGCAATGCTTTTGTTTCTGTAAGAACAGTAGAGCACAGGCAAGAACAAGCCATGACAAAATTATGCCACATTTCCATGTCACTGCTGGGCAAGGCATTCCACAAGGCATGTATGGAAAAAAGAACTGTAAATGATTTCCACTGATCAGCTGTGAAGCCCCCATAACTGTTCTGTATTTTCTTGGGCATTCTTCCCACACTGGCGGGAACTTTAAGCTTGTCCATTTTTTCTTGTATCTGTTGCAAGTTATTCTTGTCAAGCAATGACTTCTCTAGATCTAACCATACATTCTTCATAATATGCTTAGCTGTCCCAGTAAACAGATTGTGCATTGAGTCAATAATGTGAAACTAAGCACAATCAAAATAAGGCAACAACATTAATTCTGTATACCTTGTTCCAAACTGCTGTTCAAGGTTTGCACAGTCACCAGCAGTTGTTTGGTTCAAGATCTCCTGTGCTTGCAGTCTGTGCTCATTGTTACTCCTTAGAGGGCATGGTTCAAAGCCTGAAAAATCAATTTTGGTACCAACTGAGCCAGGGAAAAACTTCTGGCATTTTGAATAGCCTATATTTGATCCATGGCCAGTAAATCCACAAACCTTTCTCACTGCTGGGATGTCGCAGCCAACACAAAGAAGAGCAGCATGGAATTTGGCATTTGTAGTTGACCCATGTGCCTTGACACTTATGCCATCTTTCCACAGCACATTCAGTTCAGCTACGAGGGGCTATAAGTATGAATTAATGTTGTGTTTTGGTTCGTGGGGCCCAGGGATCACACCAACTAAGAAAACATTTTCTGGTTTGAACCTCTCAGCCCTGGGGAGGTTCATCAGAACCATATAGAGCACTCCAACACTATACACTGAATGCTTGAAAGGCTGGAACCAGTCAACATTGAGCATAAATGCATAGTTCCTCTGTGCTGCCAAAAATGCTTTCCCATCCACATTCTGCCATTCCTTCCAGATACGTCCATCAAAGATATCTGCAAGGAATCCATCAGGGATACTCCTGCTTCGCCATAATTCACATTTATCGACAAATCCTGGCCTTTGAAGGAATCAACAGAGATTGTCAATGATGCTGTTATAACAGTACACTTTGTGTGGGTAAAGCTTAGTCCCCCCACTCTTTAAGGAAACTTCTTTTAAAAGTGGTTAACCACACTTGGTATGGCGGAAATGTTGCCGATGGTTTGGAAACTGAACAAAAGTACACTTCTTGGTGACTTTTCAACTGCAAACCAGTTCATAGCAGTCATCAAAATTGTACAAAGTGTGACACTTTGGGCACACAATGTATTTAATAAATCTGTCTTTGTCCAGTCCCAGTTGCTTGCGTAGTAAATGGACTGACTTTGGGAACAGCACAGCAAAACTTGCAACAACTGGAAAGATTGTACCCATGGAATCAAACATTGCCCTCAAAAAAGTAAGAAGTATTTCCAATGCATTGTCAGATAATGAAGAAAATGAAGACCAAAGGCACAGGAAAATCAGCAACCAACGAAGAAGATGCTTGAAACTTCCATTTATTCTGGATGTGTTGTTAACATCCACAGAGGGTAGTTGACCCTGATTTTGGGGGAAGTCTGTATCAACATCCTCACCAGGCAAATCCCACACTTCTTTGAGTAATGCATGTGGCATCCTCTCATGATAAATAAAGTCATTCTCTGAATCACTGTCATCAAAACCATGAACTAAAAGGTAATCTTCCTCCTCTAGATTGTGGATAGGAACACCATCCAAACCTGATAAGTTTAAAAGAGTTATGCATCTGTTATTCTGCACACATTTTTTCAAAAGGTATGCCCACTTCAAAACTGATAGCAGTTGGTGTGCTGATGTTACAGTATACCTACATGTAGTGCTGAATGGACCATGACAAAATGAAAAATACAGTCAAGCCTTGATTAACTTACACCTCCCAGAAAGGGACGGGAACAACTTCTAAAATACAAAGGCACACTATGAAAGGGACTTGGCCCTTGACCCCAACTAATTTGCATTTTTTTTGCATGTGGAGGCAAGAGGACTGCACAATTATTGTTTTTCTCAAATATCAAATCCACTTTAAACATAGTTTGTTTCTCAAAATTCTTTGTTTGCCCTTACATGATGAAATAATTACCTATAAATTAACTGGATAATTGTTAAATAATGTATTTCAAATTTGAAATTTAGGTGAGCATAAATTTTGAAGTGTATCTATAGAGCATTAACACCCTTACTGGTTATAATAATACTGTGGCAATATTTCACATTAGTTTGCTAGTTTTAAATATTTCTTTCTGTTTCATTCAGAATAAGAAGCAAATAAAATTTATTCTGTGCTACTTTTAGCTACAATGCATTGCCTTGTTTACTATTGACTGAGCCCTAGTCGTAAATGGGAAACCCCCATAGTAACCCTACAAAAAGCAAGGTGTGACTCTGAAAATGACAGTTAGGCAATCCTGTTTGATTCCAGTAACCTGTCTCACTAGTATGTGCATCAAAGTAGCGTTAGCCTATACATACAATGATATACCTGGTTCAGAAATGCTGCCTCCATCACAACTTGCCATTGCGACTGGTCTTTGAATGCAAACATCGTGCAACTGGTTCACTTCTTCAGCACACTCGTCAACATCTGCGGGATCACTTCTTTCCTCATCTGAAGACTCTTCTTGAATCTGTCGAATGTTGCATTGACCACTTTCTTTGTTGTAGTAAAGATCTAAATGCTGCCTATACGTTCTCGTAGAGACGAAGTCTTGGCAATGCTCGCAGAATTTTCGTTTAGTCGATGACATTGATCGCCAAGAAAAAGAAACTCATGAGCCGTTTAACTGTTTATGTGCAGCGAAGTAAAAAACCAATCCAATAATTTTTTTTCTATAACGATGAACTTGGGCTCTCCGCTCAGCAGAAGAAAGACTGTGCATGCGCTTGTAACAAATAGGAGCAGAGACTGGACAGAGACAGCAAGGATTCAAGCAGAGAACTGAATGGACCAGTAATAACATCAAATGATCTTCAAAGTAGTTAATAAACAGCTACGACGAGATGATGAATCGCGTTTGAACTTTAGGCGGGATAGTTCTTCGCTTTTCGTCTCGAAGTCCATGGCAAGGCAAATCCCGAGTAAATCAAAACACCGTATCATGGCAGAGAAACCAGCAAGACATTCCAGAAGCTCTACCACTCGTACTACTACCACTAGTTCCACCAGAAGCTCTAACACTCGTAGTACTACCACTAGTTCCACCAGAACTTCGACCACACCGATCGTTTCACACGGCGCGCAAGCTCATGGTCGCCTAGAACATCAAGAGGATAACTCGGCAGTCGAGTCGCTGCCAAGAGTTCTAGATGGATTAGGCAGTTTACAAGGATCGATTGAAACTTCTCTGGAATCTACTTCTTTGGAATCCACCGTATCCACCCCTTTGGTGCCGGCCGTCATACTGACGCCAAGAAGAACATCTACTCCAACAGTATCTTGGGTCCTGGAGCCGCTTTACAGAACCCCGGTTGAAACTGCCAATGATAGTGGGTGCCAAGTTATAGAGCAGTTGCAGGCGTTTTTCGCTAGACAACGGGATTTTAACAGAAGATTGGAGGAACAGCTCGAGGGACACTTCCAGGGCCAAGGGCGGGAAAACAGACCAACGGCGCAAGCGACGCGGTTTTTGAAAGCGCTTTCAGTAAGTCATCTCTCTTCATAGATTAAGCTTAAGGATAATTAATTTTTCTATTTTTTCCCGCTTTTTTCTCCTTCAGTGATGATGAAAGTCAAAGTCCCAGTATACAATCCCATGTACGTGTAGAGGGTAAATGTACCCACCCCACAGGGAAAAACGGATCAAAGTCCAAGGGTCCATTCTCACTACAAAACTACTATCCTTTGTTTGGAGTTAGACTACACAGTATGCCACACGTGACATTCCAATCCTAGCAGTATGCAGGATGTTTGTCCCATGAAGCACTCGGATTTTTTTTCCGATTATGCCTGTGTCACTTACTGAGTAATACATCATGTTCAAAAGTATTAATTTTTGCACCATACAGGAAGTTGTTTCGGGTCACTCAACAAGAGCTGTGAAAAGTAGCCGCACTGGAATAGGAATATATTTTTTCCAATCCATGAAGATATTTGACCTTTCAAAATAGCTCGTCTCTATGGGCTCAGGTAAATAACAACTAAAAAATGTACTACCAAGCAGGAAATGTCTCCAATGAGTTTTGTATCCTCTTCATTCTGTTGTCCAATGCGACTATTAAAAACACTATGAGTTTTACGACTTGCATGTTTTATTAATTGCACTTGTCAAACAACACTACAGTCTGTCATTGATAGAGAAAATAAAGTTTAATTTTGACAATATTCGATGAAAAATACTAAGAATTTTCCAAAGAGGGCACTGAAGAATAAATAATGTGCACTGTCATTTTTACGACATTTAAAAAGGAGGGAAGGGGGTGGGGGAAAGGATTTAACAACCATACTACTCTCTCTCCCCAACCACCCACAGAGTGCACAGTTTGCACAGTATACTAGTGGAAACGTCACATCAACATTTATATGTTTACGTTTAATAGCACAATTACGGTCGTTGCACCACTCCAATATGGCCATTTCCCCACAAAACTATATTTAAGTAGATCTTTGATCAATCTTGTACGTCAAGCTTTGTTACTTTGAATTTTTCTTGGCTTCTTGCGGAGACAATTTCAAACTTTTTAGCCCTAAAACTTTGAATGGATATACAACTGTAATTAGCTTACATTACGTGACTGGTTGGCTGGTTTAATTCGGTGGCAGCCTTGAGGTGGTCGCCATACCATTAGTGTATCTACCTCTTCACTGAACACACTTTTAAAAAAAGATAGCGATCAAATGAAACGATTTTTCCGAAAGAAAATAAATGATGTTATCTTGTATACAATTATGCGCAAGGCATAATTAGTTAACAGAAAACAGTTTATTAACCTGCTTAGGAGGTACAGCCGCACTCGCCTACAAGCTTGGAAAGACGACTAATAAACGGATTCTTTCGTCTTTGTGTTATATCAGAGACGTCCACACAAGTTCATCGCAAATACTGCGCAGCATGTCCACGCTCAGTGACATCAGCTTTTTCTTGCCCATGCGCATGAGCTCACAGATGTTGTAACCTGACGACGATACAATGGGGTGCTGAAGGGAAACCTCTCTCATCACTTGCGCACAGATTTCAGATTGGATTACCTGTTCTTGTGATGCTCTGTCATCTTCTCTAGTGGTCTCTTCGTCCGACTCTTCCCGGTTCACTGTACTGGGAGGAAGCCTTTTCTTTGCTGCCAGTCGTGAGAAGAATCCAGTGATTTGCTGTCCTGTTAGAACTTCTTCTGGTAGAAATCGACGAGCTCCTAACTCGTCCCTTGAAGATCTCATCATTTGTGAGACTTCATTCGGATCTGCTTTCCTTCCACTCTGCTCGCCAATTTCAAATTGTTGTTTCAAAAATTCGTTTTGTTTTTGCGTAAAACGTGTCTTCTTTGTGATTGTCTTAAGTGCCCATCCCATTGTAAGGGGCGAAAAGCATTCCCATCAAAACTCCGAAATTACCGAAAGGTGCGTATTTTTTAAACACAAAAGTCTGAAGTTTTTGCGCGATAAGAGGTGAGAAGAAGGGGGGGGAGTAGCATTGTGATTAGACTATCCTTTTTTTTTGTTTATTGTTTATATCTTTCTCAAGTGGCTTTTTGCGAAACAAAATTGAAATGTTTTAAACAAAGTAAATTAACCCCTACTAACCGAATTCCAGGTGCGTACTGTAAGTTACAGACCGTGAAACGAGGTTAGTAAGATATTCATTATGTCTCTGAGGTCAATCGGGCGCGCGGGAAAGGAAACTAGTTAAAGTTTAGTGGGCCGCGCAAAATTGACCAATCACACCCCGCGTACGAACTGAGAGATACTGATAAAGATTAGGAACTCATTGTATACATGTGGGTAGTGCTGTGCACGCGCTGCGGACCTGTTTGTTTACGGACACCGGCACTCACTCACTCACTCACTCACTCACTCACTCACATACCTGGCGACAAAGTGGGTAGGGCACTATACAGTGCACACACTAATATAAGCGCAATCCATAAAAAAATGAGAGGCATGAAATAAAGGTTGTTATAAAAAAATTGGATTGCACAACTGAATGAAGAGATAAGTAATGAAATGTCCTTCATCAACCTTACTTATTTCTCTCCGTCGTTTAAACAAATGATTCTTTCATATAATCTTAAGTCGTCAGAATGAATAGACTAAAAATAATTCATTGGAGACAGTTTCTGTTTAGTAGAACATCAAGTAGTTGGTTGCTTACCTGAGCAGGGACGAGCTGTTTTGAAAGCTCAAATATCTTCATGGATTGGAATAAATTTATTCCTTTTTCCAGTGCGGGTGCCTTCCTCAGCTCTTTGCAGTGACCAGAAACAACTTCCGGGATGGTGCAAAGATTACCCGTCCTTCGCCAACCTAAACCTAACTTGGCACGATGAACCGGACAGATAGTCATATCCGATAAATTCGCCGGCTTTTGAAAACATCCACATCTCGCCAAAATTAATTCTACCTCCGTTTCAATTCCAGAAAATTTCAACGACTTTTTGTGATTTTTGATATCCCTGTTACACCGTGTGAGAGGCGTGACGGAAGTTGAAGAACTTGTGCGTTCGTCTGCGCCGCAAATCCTACCAACAATATTCAAGAACGAGCAAGACATTGCTGTTCTATGAAGTTCCCCGACAATAAATTCTGGTTTTAGATGCAATGTTTCACAGATAACGATAATTCGATTTATTTATTTAAAGAACGATGCAATTTTCGTGAGAACAGGTACTTCTGATTGGCTATCGACGGCATAAAGCTTCTCATTCTTAATAAAATCAATTCTTATCGTTTCAGTTTGAATTGCTATTATGATATTTTCTTTTATTATTACTTCAGCAAGTTAACTGGGGAACCTGGCACATCGTTGAGTAAGATATTTTAAAATAAGACTTATTGTAAATTAACAGATGTAAAAAATCTGTTTGTTACTGTACTAATTGTAGCGAAGTCGCTCGTGCGTGACACAGATTAGGGAGCAAGCCTGTGAGATTTAATTTCAGCTCGTGGTAATTTTGGTGTTTCATAGTTTGTTTTACCTGTGTAGACAATATTTAACATCAATATATATTTTTAAAAGGTTCAAACCGCTAAGAAAGTAAAACCCTCATGTTTTATGTACAAACTTTGGCCGAGGAGTTAATTTATTCAATAGTGCATTGTTATGTAGAGTTGTAGATTTCAAAGGCGTCAATTGGAATTTTATCGAATTTTGATTGGCGTTCATGCAAAAGTGCTACTAGATCCTAAAGATTTAAAACCATAGACCTAAAAATCAATGACTGAACTGTCTTTGGTTATAATATCAGAGGATTTGAAGAACTACCGGTCAGCTTTTTTCGTCGCTGAGTTTGGATTATTTTACACCTTCGCGTAAATGAGAAAAGTGTGTCTTCTTAATTGGGTCTCAGTTCACTCACAAATAAGCAGAGATAAAAATAATTCCCATAGTTTGACTAAGGAAGAATCAATGTATTCAATTATACTTAAGAAAGATTCACAGCTATGTAAACGTCTGTGTAGCGAGAAGCTGAAAAGTGTAAAATTTCGAGTTTCCGCCAGGTGAAATCCGAGCTTCCGGTAGGGTGACCGTTTTTCGTGGTTTTCTGCCGTTATATGGAATATTTCAAAAAACTAACCTCATATCCTTCAGTTACTTACCTAGGCCTTAAAACTGACAAAGTATGAGCGAAATCGATTTTTTGACCGTGGCCACGATTTCTTTGATTTTTACTGACAATCACTCTTAATTTCTTTTAATTTTTTCTGAATGGGAAGCTAATGTCAATTGAGCGACCAAAATGATGTTTTGATTGTGGTTATAAAGACATTGTATGTTCCACAACAAACAGTCTTAGTAGAGTTAGTTTGACATAAATACTGGACTACTTAAAAGTGTAAGGGACGTAGTCACATAAAAAAGGGTTCAATGTTGACTTTCCTTGTCAAATATTGTGGACTCTCACAGGCATGTACCACTCAGAGGGTTTAAAAGAGAATTAAGATGAGAACACAGTTCTAATTCAGCTTTGATTTGTATTTAGCTTTTCTCATGAAGATAACAGAGCTGTTAATGCAGCAATAATAAATGGAGTCAGAAGTACTGACACTTCCACACCATCAAATGTCATAAGAGGTAAGTGTTTTCTGCAAAAGTGACCAAAGTTGGGATCAGTAGTTCAAATGTATCTGCAATAAACTCTGCATAAAAGGATATAAAAGGAAAGCTACAGTTAAGATTAATTGTTCAATTCTGTTTTTTTTTATGTACTTCCTTCCTTCCTTTCTTTCTTTCTTTCTTTTTTTATCTTTCAGGTGATGCTAACAATTTACATATAATTATACATATTTGATTGTAAAATTGCCACATTCTCTCCTTGTTTTCCTTAATGTTGAATATCTAGCCTGCTAGCAGAAATCTCTTTTTTTTCCTGTTGGAAAGAGAGTAGTAGACACCTGCTCACTAGCCATGAATATCCTTCCCTAGTATATATCACACAAATGAAGAATACTTTGTATACACTGAGTGGCTAATTAGGAGGTGAAAAGCCTTTGCATTTTACCTCTGAGTAAAAACAAAATGGTGCAAAGCAGTGATCACCACTTGTTTTTCTCAATTTGTCAGAAAATTAAATATTTATTAGTGGCTGGTTATTCACTTGCAAAATGTTAACTGTTTTTGTTCATGGCAGCTGCCATGAGGGTGCATTTCAAGACCAAAAAAGGCATAAAAAAAAACAAAGACACCAACAGACAAGTAGAAGTGCTCCAAGACCAGCGCATTAGAAGTAGGAAGAATACAGTAAGTTTTTAGTTACTTGATAATTTCATTACACAGCTTGAAACGATCCTACTCTAAACTCGCAAAATTTTACGCCTACCAGTACTACATAACTAATGTAAAATTTATGTTTGATACAGAAACGTTTGAAACGCAGCAAAGCTCTATTCCAATCTACATCTATTGGGGAAGAGGAAAAAGAGAAATACCGTTTGTGCCTCTCATCTGCAGATTACATGTCCTCAGAACATTGAATGTCTGAGGACAACAGTGCTGGGAACAGCAGGTCTGAGGACGAAGCCCCCTCAAAACAAAAGGTGCTATGTAGGAGGCCTCTTGTGTGGAGGAGCAGTGAGCTAAACTCTCTGTTTAGCTGATTAGATCGAAAGAGTGCGAGAAAGCGGTCACAGAGGAGTGCCTCTATGATGATTGAGAGGAAAGATGGCCCTCCATCTACTCGAGAGGCACCAGAAGATGCTCCAGCATTTGCTTTGTCATAAACGAAATTTGATTACTATACATTTTAGATACAAAAGAAAAGGTTTTACTTACCGGTATTACGACAGCATGACTTACAGAAGTTCAAAAGTAAAAGACTCACTGAGTTTGGCCATTTGTTCACTGTTCTAATGTTAGACATGTATCTAGAATGTAGTATTGATATGAATATTGCAGTCAACAATCCATCACTGAGGTGAAAAAAAAAAGCGTGTCAAAACAAGTTTTAGAAACTTTAGAGTGTTCTTTGCTTAAATGGTGGTTTCCTTACAACAAGGCAAATACTGGAGCATCTTGTGGTTTTCAGGAATATCATTTGTAAAATATTTAGTTGAGGTTTAGGCACTTATGCTTTAAATGTGTGGCAGAAATTTACATAAAGCTCATTTGGTTTCTTTTTTGTTACTGTTCAGTGCAGCTTTCAAACATTTTTATCCACTTTTCAATTTTTTTAGAACTTGTAGAAAGTAATTTAGAAAATATCAGAGAATGCCATCATAGTTATTGTAACAGTTAAAAATTTAAATGATAAAAATAATGTGGTAAGATAGCATGCATAAATACTCAATTTACTTTCTTACATACAGCTTAGAGTAAATATTGGAAAAAAAAGTAATATATGCATAAGTGAATCATCCAAGAATTTTCAAACAAACAATACTCTACTGTTAACGTGCTTAACAGTGTAGCAGTCAAATTTATGTATGACAGTTTTTATTACCAAATTGAAAAATGAGATAAATAGAATATCTTAAAACGTTATTAGTAGCTATAGGTCAGTACTCAAACCTACTTTAAAGATCAATGCTGTTTATATCAGAAGTTATAAGTCAAGTTATGTTTTTGTGGTCCAATTGAACAAAGACAAATAAACTATTTAATCTAATTTTGTTTTGGGTACATCATAATATTTTAACATAACTAATCCACATTTTTTTAGACTTTTTACACATTAAAGTATTCACCCATTCCTGCATGACATAAAACCATAGTAAAAATGAGGAAACAAATCAATCCCTATTTTACTCATCAAATCCAACTGATAAATAATACAGAATGTCTGCAAGTGCCTGCATGCAGCTGCTGTTTTCCCTTAGGCCTTAATCTTGCAAATTATCCTTCTTCCTAGTAATACTTTGACGCCTACTTCTCATTATCCTTTTACAGCTGAGGAATATCAAAAACTGGCTTTTCCAGCATCAGAATTTGTTTTCCATGGAATACTTCCCGAGGAAGAATTAAAACTTTGGGCACCTGTTCCCAGAATGGTAGAATTTATCTTCAATTCAGGGAGAAATGCCTGGACGGATGAAATGATTGAGAACTTTAGATGTCTTGCTTACAGATATTGCATTTTGTGCGAAGAGCAGTATGGAGCTAATGCATGTGTTATCAACCTTCACAACCTGACACACTTTCCTGATGACATCTTGCGGTTTTCTGCATCAGATAATTTCTGGTGTTTCCAATTTGAAAGAGCTGTGAAGCGTTATGTAAAGCAAAGCAGCAACAAGAAGCATATTGAAAAATCCTTTGCTCGTAGGGAATGTCAAAGAGAATTCCTCAAATTTCAACCAGACCTTAAGCTGATCTCATCAGAAAGAACCAGAATGGCATGGGCTAGGGACAAGGAGAAGGTGACTATAATATTAAGTATTTTATTCTATCATTAAGCATTGTTGTGACCTAGTAACAATATAATTAATTGGAAAACACTCAGTCACCTGCAGCTGAGTTATTTGGATGTGCTGTTGACTAATAATTTGAGATCTGAACTCAAGGTAACCTCAATCTCAAGCACTGTTGAACTATACACTCTTTATGTAAATTCTTGGACCCAAGCTTTGTCCAAACTTAGTGAAATGTAATAAACATTATTTTAAAAATATTTAATACCTGTATCCAATGTAGTCAGAACAATATAGCCTGCATATAGCAAGCATACCCACGAATCATGTGGACAGGAAAATTTTGTGGCAAGAGGACTGCATGCTCTGCAAGAATGGAAGCTATAACAATATTACACAATTACATGTAACACATACCTCTCTTTTGTAAGCAATAGCAGTAAGCAATCTCATCTAACTTACAACTATAACCAGGGCTGTGCTCTAAGGGTTCCCTGGTGCTTTACATAACTAACATTTGCCTTTGGGCAACTGACAAACTTACTTTTTCAAGCTTTATGCTGCGTGCCCTGGATCTCATAGGTTGGAACTTCTAGGCTCCTTGTAATTTTTCTTATGGCGCAGCCTTGATACTTATAATGCAATAAAGTGGTCTGTGTAACTACTGCAGCTATCAAATTCATAATTTGCAGGCTATCACTTAACTTTCCTTCTGTTTTCTAATCAATGATTAAGGTAACTACATCGTCTTTGGAAGGGGCCAAGTACCTCTTAACGCTTTGTTCAGGAGGGCCTCTTGCTGATAAAGTAAATGAAGGAGTGTTAATTGGTTCTGGCCATATCCACATAATGTCATATCAAAAGAGACAAACTGTTCTAGAATATTTGGAGGATGTTACAGCAGACGATCTCAGCAAAGCTGTTGAATACTTTCGCAGTGCATTCCTTCCCATGCATTGCAAACCATTGGGTGGAAAGCTTTACAGGAAAGGAGACTTCGTTTCTGCAGTTGAAGAAGGGGCTGAAGTATTTTTGCAAATACAAGACTTCTACTTGATTAAAGTTAAAGATGCCTATCAATCTCTTGTCCTTGGTGTGACTTTTGAACTGATCATAAACCCTGGTGGCGAGGTTACAAGGCATCCTGTTAGTGATACTCTGTACATTCAACCTGCAAACTCTTCAATTTCCTTAAGTTTGAAAGACCTTAGACGAGAGATCATGCTGTTTCCAGATACAGGTAACAAATATGCAGTGGTGGATCCGTTCAGGGAAGATGTGAATCTCCCCAAGGTAATTGTGCCTGTCTACCCTGAAGTTGGCGATTTTGTTTCTGTAACTGGTTAGGATGAGGAACTTTGGAGGGTATTGGTTACAGATGTGAACTACCATGCACTGACTGTTGGAGGATTTTTCTATGTAAAACATTCCCATTTTGATGACAATAATCTCTGGATAAGGGAGAGACCACAAAGGAAGGAGACAATCCATTTCAATAGCATTGTGTCCATTGTTGATGGAGAATGGGTTGGCACTGCTTGGAAAGATGCCTAAACACTGTTCAGCACACCTTAATTTTATAGTGGGGTGTATATATTTTATACACTCAGTAATCTTTATTGTTTCCATTAATTATTGGATATTCTTCAAGAAGGTGGAACAGAACTTTGGATTAATTAGGAGTGGCAAACACATTCAGATTTACCGTAATTTCCGGTCGATTACCCGCACGGCCGATTACCCGCACCGGCCGATTATTGCATACGGCGAAAAAAAAAGTCAACGGATTACCCGCACCGGTGGATAACCCGCACGTTGTTATTCAACTTTTTCGGTGGCGAAAACGTGACATTAAGGCGATACATTTCAGTCTTTCGATTCAGACATGTGCACAATTCTGTGTCAATATTAGCTTATACTTTATTGATAAAATTATACAGTGAAAATTGAACAGTAAAATTATACAGGGCGAGTGTTAAAAACTTGAATGATAAAGTAAGTTCAGTTCAAAATCCATTAAAATCTTCATCCTCAGTGTCACTATTAAATAAGTTCATTAACTGCGCATCGAGTACAGGATCCAGAATTGCGGTAGATGTTATTTGTTCATCGTCACTGATGTCGGATGTCTGAGATGCATCATCGTCGGTGCCACTTGCAATTCCTGCTTTTCTAAAACCATTCTTGATGGATGAAACTTTTACAGCCTTCCAAGCTCGCACAACCCAGTCGCAGACTTCGGCATGGGTGGCCCTCCTCATTTTTCCTGTTTCGGTAAAGGTATGGATTCCCTCTGACATCCACTTCTCCCACTCCTCGCGAACATGGTTTTTGAAGGAACGGTTCACAGAAATGTCCAACGGTTGTAACTTTTTTGTAAGGCCTCCAGGAATCACTGCGGTGGTTGTTTTGTGCTCCGTTCTGTAATTGTTTCGAATGCCTTCATCGATGTGTGCGCTGAAACTGTCGAAGATAAGTAGCGAAGTTCTATTAAAGAAGGACACTGGTCTGGCACGCCAAACTTTCTCACCCCAGACAGCCATTCCATCTCTGTCCATCCATCCTTTCTTGTGGCAATGGACCACCACACCGTCCGGTAGATTTTCTTTCGGCATTGTTTTGCGCTTGAAGATTACCATTGGCTTGAGCTTCTTCCCTGATTCTGAGCATGCAAGGACAACAGTAAAGCCTGTTTTCTCATGACCGTGGTTGACACAGGAATAGTTTCAGCTCGGTTGCATCAACAGTTCTGGAAAAAGGAGCATCAAATGACATTGGGACTTCATCCATGTTGAAGACACGATCTCCTTGGATTCCAAGCTCCTCCTTTCTTCGCAAAACAAACTGGTGAAAGTTCGCAACCTTCTCCTCCCAGTCATCGGGCAGTTTCTGGCCCACCGTGGTTCTCGCCGCACAGACAATCGATGTCGGCGCATGAATCTGCAACACTAGCTCGGACCTCCTACAAAATCAGCAACATTCATTTGCTTTGCTAATTCTCTCGCCTTCAGTCGGATCATGACGGTAGTGACAGCACGGCTATTTTCTCTTTGGCTGACAATCCACTCCTTCAAGGCATTTTCCAATGCGGGAAACTTTTTGCGATACCAGTCCGGCAAGTGCGCTGACGTTTTGGTAGTTTTGCCATGGCTTTTTTCTTTCGCCAGTAACGGATCATGGATTCATCAATTTCAAATTCTCTTGCTGCTGCTCTATTACCGATTTCATCGGCAAGAGTTATTACTCTAAGCTTATAATCAAACGTAAAACTGTGACGTGGGCGTTTCACAGCAGGCATTTTAACTTAATTGGTGACTCGTGGATACACTTATCGCGAATGATCGAGGTTTATAATTCTTATTCAGTCAGTTACCTTTTTATAGCATCAACATTCTGGTGATGCATTTGGGATTTAAAATTACTGTCGGCAATTTCTCAAAAAAATCGATATCTCCTGTTCTACTGGGCCTAACAAGTCCCTTAAAACGGGAAAATTCTCTTTAGCTCAAGCTAGTGAAAACTGGAAATTTGTTACTGATGCGCCGGATATCCTTGGATTATTTTTGTCACCATCAAGGTTTTGTTTTCGCGCGTGCCGATAAAAATTTGTTTGTCACGCAACTAATTATGCGTGAAATAAACTCGAGTTGGCATCATGTTTTCGTGCCGCTTTGTGGCACTTTTGATACAATAAAATTCATTTGAGAGGTGGAAACGCAGGTAGGTGAGAAATTTTTTCAATTCAACTTCCAGAAGAATTTAAAATTGTCACATAACCCGCACCTCCCTATTACCCGCAGTGGCGCGGATTTAATGCAAAATCAACAGATTACCCGCGGGTAATCGACCGGAAATTACGGTAGGTTATGTTAACTGGTATACATGTAATTCTCTAACAACCCAGAGTAATTTACCAAATCTGGATAATGAAGGTTTGTTACATTATTTCTTGATTTTGCTTATTATCCAGGTTTGGGTTTGGAAAAAAGCCATCTGCATGGCAAGTAAATTATCCAGATTTGGTGTTTGTAAATTAGGATATTTAGTAATCCAGACTGATTTACCAATCCTGGATAACAAAGAAAAGGATTGTGAAAGTCCACTGTTGTTTTTACTCTTATCCAGGTTTGGATTTGGGAAAAAAACATAATTGGCAAGTAAATTATCCAGATTTGGTGTTTGTAAATCAGGATATTTAGTAATCCAAACTGATTAACCAAACCTGGATAACAAAGAAAAAGGATTGTTAAATTCCACTGTTGGTTTTGCTTTTATCCAGGTTTGGATTTGGGAAAAAACATAATTGGCAAGTAAATTATCCAGATTTGGCATTTGTGAATCAGGATATTTAGTAATCCAGACTGATTTACCAAACCTGGATAACAAAGAAAATGGATTGTTAAATTCCACTGTTGTTTTTACTCTTATCCAGGTTTGGATTCAGGAAAAATCCTCAAGAGAACACTCCCTTCAAAGCTTGATGTTTTCCTAAAGATCCTCTTAGTCAATTTTCAAGAACCTTTCTTTGACTAAGGATTTGTAAATGTGACTTCTAATCATAGCTTTAGAGGGATAACAGTGTCTATTGGTCTTCAATGGTGCTTTTTTCCCTCAATATAATTCTTTGCACAAAAATCTTTAAATGTCGGTGTATCTCTTTCTCTGATCTTGCTCTTGCACATGCAAGTTCTTGTATTTTTGCCACAAGCCATGCATAAATGAGAAATAAGGCATAAAAAAGTAAATGAAAAGATTAAGGAAATTGAAAAATTATTCTTACATACATGGCTGAAAGCTGTTTTTGACCCACTCATTTCTATGAGAAGGAACAGTTACGTTGCCTGCAACAAAAACTGTGACTAAAGTAACTAAGTATTTAATTGTAAGAGCTTACTTCTCCAGTTGGGTGCACGGTGTGTTCCTTGACTGAGGGAAAATGGGCGAGAATCCGCCTTTCAGGTTTTGCAGTTCCAGCATTTATGGCATTACACAGCTTTTTGCAATGACTCTTACAGTGCCACTCCATCTTTTGCAACATCTAGAGATCAAAAGGAGGAAACAAATTGACGTTTTTGTGATGTCATTTATAGGTTTGTGTTTTCCTTGTTTGAAGTACATTTTGCAATTTCATTATTCCAACTAACCTTGTGCTCCAGAGATTTGATGATTTCTCTTGTGTGCTCTTGAGCAGGACAGTTGAGTTTCCTTGATTCTTGTAAAAGCTTACCAGCTCCATTTCCTCGATAGAAGTGGTCACTGGCCTATGTTTTGGGAAAAAAGAAGTCTTGCAGCGACATAGCACCATTTTTCCACTGAAACTTTCTTCCTTGTTGGACATTGAAATATTCTATCCTATCGAGTCCTTTCTATCATGTACTCTCTTATCTTTATGCATGGAGAAGGAAACTCAAGGCTACTTAATATTGACCTTTAATCATACTTTAATCAATGCAAGATAAAAAATCTGCCAAATCATTTAAATACAGAATACTTTCAACATACAGCTTGGTTTTTCCTTTTCTTGCTTAGATGTCTATCTACACCATGTTGACAATCATATACCTTGTGATTTACCACAACAAATGGGATTAATCAAATGGCAGACGACTATCTTCCCATAATACTTTGTGTTCTTTAACTGCCAAGTCTATGTTACAAAACAAACTTACAAAAATTTAAGAAGCATAGTCCACTTATCATCCTTCCTCTAGATGATAATGTGTCAAAAAAGATCATGACAATAATAATGATCCCAAGCTACCTGTCACTTACTAGTATGCATAGGGCCTGTCAAATAA